GGCAGAAAGAGAGAGAGAGAGAGAGATAGGAAAAAGAGAAAAAGAAGGGAGAACGCGTTCATCTTTGAAACGCGTTTCATGGGTTCGCGCGTTGAAACGTTGTTACTTTCTCGTCTTCACCAGTGACACTTTAATTGTCTTTGTCGATATTGTAGCAGAAAGAAGACAAATGTTGCGTGTGTCTTCATTTGAGAAGGATGCAAAGAAATAACAATAAATGGATATGAGGGAGCGAATACCGAAAATGTATTGTTGTGACGCGTAGAAGTCGTAATATTTGGCTTGTGATAAAATCTGCTGATTCATTATTAGCCCATTGTGCGTTAAGGGGTTGAAAAGGTTCCAAAAGTAACTGTTGATAATATATCATAAAAAGATTCTCACTGAAACAGTCTTCTGTAAAGAAGAAACTGCATCTGGATGGAACAGATACATCCTCAAAGAAATTCATTATAATTTTCTTATCTGTTGAGCCTAGAATTCAAACATTGTACATATTTCTCACATAAAAGAATATATATCAAATATTATTCAAATATAGAATTCAGACATCCTTCCGATTAATCATAGAATTGTAATAAAAAAATCTACAAATCTACAAACTTAAAAGACGAACGATTCGACGATTTAAAAAACACACCACGTTGGATCAATCTTTGCCAACGAAAAGAATTCGGATTTAGAAAAAAGAAAAGACCTTGAAATCAAACGTTCCAAGGAAAACGATTCGCAAGAAGCATCCACGAGAAAAACAAAAGTATCTTGAGTTTAAAAAAATATCCCGCATCCGAGGAGAAGGTGGTGTAAGAAACGAAGACAGTTGGTTGTATTGGCATCGGTGTATCGCTTTTATATCGTCCTCGTTGACTTCCTTCCTCGCGGGGTGAAAGCGAGGAGGAAAAGAAGAAGGGAGCGGAAGAAGGGGTGCGAGAGCCTCGAAACCCCAACGAGATACAACCAATTCGCAAGCAATTCTCGCCTCGCCTCAGGCGGTCCACGAAGACGAGCTGGCCGCTTCGTGAGTGACGAGGAGAGAAGGGGGCGTGGAGAGCGGAGGAAGAGAGGAGAAGAAGAAGGGGCTGAAGAACCATCGTTGGAAAAAGCTCGGCCACGAACGAGAATTAATATTCCAGACAAACGTGACAGATAGATCAAATCTGCATCTCACCGGGAACACCGGTGTCAATTTCGACGGATTATCGCCGCTTGTCTCGATTCCTCCTCTTCATCCCCGTGCCATCTTCCACGCTTCTCCCCGTAACGTCACTCTCATCTTTTCGTGTTCTTGTTACCCCGGAGACAGCCCCGTGAAGAGAATTTTTTTCATTATTGATTTAAGGGTTGCTTTATGGATGAAGAAGAAAAGAATTTATATACATTGTGAAAATATTTATACTAGTTTCGACAAAATGATAAAGGCTTTTTCTTACAGTACAATCGAATTGAATCCTGAACAGGAAAATTTCTTGGCTAAAAACATTTTGAGTTTAATGTAACCCTAAAGAAAGTAAGACAAATTATTCCAAAATCTTGAAGATTTAATATCATCAAATCTTTCTTATTTACGTAGAAGTATTAATTACTCATCCTATAAAAACCTTAAAATTTTTTCGCACAAGAGGGAAACAAAAGGAAGTCTTTCCATTGCAAAAAATACCCAACGTCTCACCCGCTTATTCCAATCCAAGAGATCTGATTCCGAAAGGCGCAGATGCTCAAGAGGATACGCCGCTAAAAAGCCGGATGAAAAACAGATAATCAAGAGGATTCCACTTCCGCTTCGACGCATATCGATCGTCTCTGCGATCTACATATCTACCTTACCTGAGGACACAGACAGACAATGAAACCATACTCGTACATGATACGTGCATACAGGAAGCGCGCACATCCAAAGTTCGCGTGCATGTGTCCCAGGGATTCATCACACGTACTATATGCTCGCGTGCGTGCTCGTGCAGCGATGGCTCGTGCGGACCACGTGGCCAAACAATAGGACGATTCTAATTGGGATTTTGAACGTGGCCGGTCGATAACAAAAAAGTGGACAAAAAAGGCGACGAAAGGGGGCTTATCCGGAGAACAAGCCTCGACGTGGACGTGGTGGAATCGAGGGACGACGAGCACCAGCGGATTTTCTCTCGGTTGGCCAGGATGGGGTTAACTCTCTTTCGTGCTACCTAGAAGGGAGAAAGGGGGCTCGGCCGAGTTTCACGGACCGTGATGAAATTTTAAAGAGACACAACGGTGAACTCGCGCCGGATCAACAAGCTGTTACGTAATTATGATCGTTTGCATTAATCAACCGGCACTCGCTGTGGTTTGCTCGCGATGGAGGATCGACGACCCTTCGAGTGTGAAAAATCTTTGAGCGGGGAGGATGAAGTGGAGGAACGAATTAATTCGAGTTGTTGAAAATTCGTTTTGAATTCCATTGCGTTTATATTAAATGATTTGTGAAATGATTTTATTTATGAGACGAATATTTAAGTGGATGTGATGTAAAAATCGAGTGTGAGGATAGTTGAATCGGATTTTAAAATTATTTGACAATTATTTGTACATTGAATGATATCTATTATATCTAACACGTGATAATCAGAGTTATTCAAAATGATCAATTTGATTAATTAGGTTCATAATCATATATTTCATATTAAATTAAAAATTAAGGAAGAAAAATGAATGTAGAAATATCTAAAAATGTATATAAAAAAAGGATCGACGTTCTCTTTCGTTAATAATCATTCTAATAGATCCAAAATCTTTTTCAGCCTTCTATAATTATCGTTTTTAAACGAGACACAATTGATGAAAAGTTTCCTAAGAAACGATCATTTCGAGAGAGCGTGATAATATTAGCAAAAGCGAAAACACGTTAATTGTAAGAAGAAGAAAGGAGGAAACGATTCTTATTGAATACCGATTCCTCTGTTCCATCCTCTCTCTCTCTCTCTCTTTCCTTCCACGATGCAAAACAGTCGGCCGTGGTAATTTGCACAAGTAAGCACCGAGTTAAGAATCTCAAAGGCTGTGCTTTCAATTCATCAGGGGCGTCGGGTCGCATGAATTTCGTTAGAGGTCGTAGCCAAGTTTGAAGTTAATCGGAGTAAACTTGGTGTCGATTCGTATTCACGAGTGGATGTGAAAATAACGGAGATTAAAAATCATCCATTTATCGTATCATCGTCATCGAATTAATTAAATTGCAAAGCTATAATCGCCCTGAATTAATTATTCCAAAAGAAGGAAAAATATATAAGCACACCAAAATTTCATTCCTAATCATTCAACCAACCATACAAGTTCCATCTGTCTGCAAAACATCCCTTTGAAAAAGTATCCCCTGCCTTCACACTTAACACACTTTCCTCACGAGCACTCGAATATTGGAATCAGATCGATCGAAAGTTATGAAAATAAAATTAATTACGACTTTTCATCGTGGACCAAACATCGAAAAACCAGCGTGGACATTCGCACGTTAAACCTTTCGACAATGTGGCGTTCGATAAAAGAGAGAGAGAGAGAGAGAGAGGGATAGGATATGGGGGCAGGTTCACCCCAATCCCCGAGCGGGCTCTTTAAATTCAAAAATCGAATCTACCGCGGTATTGTCCGTGCCCGTTGAACCACGATCGACATCACATGGCAGCCTGTAACTGTACTTTAAAACTACTCCCTTTCTTTCTTTCTCACCCCCTCTCGAATCGGCGAATCTGAAACCAGAATTTTTACCGCGCAGATGACATGCTCCAATGTTCAACGATGAATTGTCGACTCGATTTTTTCCCTTTTAAATCGATACAAATAGTTTTGATGATTTTGAGAATTAAAAAAACTGGAAAGTGATACTCAGAAATTTTGAGGAAATTGAATGTAAATATAAAAATTAATGTCTCTTAATTCGACATCTGGATTATTTTATTCCAGAAATAAAATTTTTCAAGACATATTTATATATATATATATATGGAATCGATATATTTGTGGATATAAAAATAAGTAATGATATTTTGAAAAATTTGAGCGTTAGTCTTTACTCAAAAAATAAGCAATGTTCTTGTTTTATTGTACTATGAGACGGACAAGAGAAACTCCAAGTTATTCGCTCTCTTATTTTCCTGTCGAAAATCCCGTCTCGGAAGCTGTATGGAGTACGAAAGTTGTGGGGAGCATTTGTTGCCGGAACACTCGCGTTTTATTTATAGAGGCTACCTTGACTCGGTAGACCCAACGCAGAACTCAAAGCGAGATATGCGAAAACATCGCAAAGCATCTTTAGCAACATGTGCATTGGCGAGTTGTTCAAGATTCTCTCGATATCGTGAGCCAATGCCAGCTTAACTTTTATTCCAGAAAACATTTCTGATAATTTCGAGTTGTAAAGGCAGATGATGGAAGATGTAAAAATTTAAACATCAATTTAAACAATAAATAAAATTGTCGATATCTTTCTTCACTTTATTAGGATTGAATTTATTTCACAATTATACAAAAAATAAAAGAAGAAAAGAAGATGGAGAGAATTCAGATTTTGATGATCCAAATGGAGAATGAAGCAACTTTGTTATTTCAGACAAATAAACAGGATGTATTATATAAAGTATGGAATTATTGGATTATTTGTTGAAACATCTAGAACGTATAAATTATATTAATATGAAAAAATTACAACAGTAATAGATTTAAAGTTACTTCACTTTCAACAAAATTCAACAACATTACACAAGAATTAACATTTTTCCAATTAAAGGATATTAAAATCGATGAGGAGAGATTCATCCAATTTACGGAGCTTTATTCCAATTACCAAGTTTCAACTGTCCTAATTAAAAATCACTTTCGCAAATCTCGAACATCGAACATCGGGAATTCACACGTTATACTCCTCGCTTGCCAACTTCCTCTTCATCTACGTTTATTCTCAGATTCTGCAGCTACCAATTTGCCACGTAATACGCGCCACAAACAACTATATAATCAAATAACGCACTCACCAGAATTGACCGTGTTGGTGTCCGCGTCGACAGACTCCGTCTTCTGTTTCTTCGGCAGATCCTCCTTGTCTTCGTTCGAGGCTTCCGTCCGCCTCTTAGGCGTCGAGCTCGCGCTTGCCTTCAGCTCGATCGGGCTTCCAGCATCCGGACCGGAGCCCTGAGGCGTCGGAGGGCTCTCCAATCTGCCACCACCCCTCTTGTTAATGGGCGCCGAGATGCTGGGCACCGAGTTCAGCTTCGAGTCTTGGTCGACGGTCTTCAGGGCGAGCGCGTCCTCCGGATCGGAGTCTTCCGGAGCCGCGGTTGCCGGTGGACTGTGGCAACCCTGAAGAGTGATCCGACAGTGGTTCACCTTGTGCTCGATGAACCGAACGATCTCGCCAAGGGGGTAGGACACCCTGCACGCCCCGCATTGGACGGTGTCTGGGGATGTGGTGCCTTGCGAGGTTTCCGCTGGAAAATTCGACAATTCGATTTTCTCTTTAATCTGCTTGTTGCGAGGGATTTAATGAATGGAAGAATATTTTGATCAGTGCATATAATTCACTTTGGTGAATGGAAGTTTATGGAAGAAATGAATTTATGATGGAGATTGAGATTCATTTACTTTGGTGCGTGGAATAGACTCCTTCCAGAGAGTCTCAGAGAGGAATATATTAATATTCTTTGTAGGTTAGTTATTGTCGATATATTTGTATATAGTGATTGAAAATAGGAAATAATATTGATATTACAACGTTATAAGAGGAATTATATATTATTTTTTATAATCGGGTAAAGGAAAATATTATAGATTAGGAAAAGTTTTTAATAATAATATATGATCGAGATTAATATTATAATTGTTTTAATAGAATTCGGTAGAAGTATTAGGTATCAGTTGTGAAAAAGTGAAATTTAAAGTTCACTTTTAAATTTTAATAATGCATTATAGGTTGATTTTAGAAAAATTTTCTCCTAGGGTCTCTTTGCACTAAAAGTGTCCAGTTTTACGCGTCCCGCATAAAGTCCCACACATGTTCCCATGAAACTAAACAGAAAACCCTCTTAAGAATTCGCCCAAAGCTGCAGACACTTTAGATAAAAGGACACTTGAAGTTTCTTTCTCTCGAACCCTGTGTTTTAGACCACCCAAGAAATTTCACTATCTTGCAATATTTTATCGTGTCATTTTAAATTTCCACTTTTTTGAATGAAAACTTTGTTTGTTCCGCTACATTTGCTTTAAAATAGGAAATTTAACCCCTCTGTTAAAGCGTGAAACGAAATTCTGACTCGATTTTAGAATTAAAATCACGAAGGAAGAATTCATCGATTCCTAATAAAAAAATCTGTTCTTTTCGCGCAACTAAATTAATAAATTCTACCAATAATAATTTCCAATTTATCTTCAAAATATTCAATCAAAAACGCAAATATTACAAATGTTTAAAATTCAAAAAAATCATCCTTCCAAATTTCTCCGAAACAATCTAATTCCCTCTAACGTGTATATTTCACTTCTAATTACAACCATAAATTATATCCCCCAAGCGAAAATATGATCCACGTTTCATAATTAAATCGCGTTCACACGATTTTCCAAGCGGGACAAACACGTTTGGGTTTGGGGGTAAATTTGGTTAGCCCGTGGAAGGGGAGGGGGAGGGGGAGAAAACGCGAGCCGCTGATATAGAGATCTAATTTCCTTCTCGAGTCTTATAATTCACGGTGGTTCGAGGGGCTAAGGTCCCGGGGTCAGCCGCAGACGTAACAATTCACTTTTAAGTGTCCTCGAGCAGACCTCCTGGCAGCATTCCTCGCGGCTCTTCCCTATGCCCTCTGCTTATGCCTCGCTCCATTAACATAGAGATTGGCAGGAGTTTCATGCATCGATCTCTCCCTCGACGGAGTCAAGTATCCATACCCATTCGCATAGGGATGGCCTAGCCGCCCGTAAGAATAAGAAAACGTTCTTGCGAACCATCTTGATCTGACCATATTCTTCTTGTCGTTTCCTCCCTCTTCGTTCCCGTTTATTTCATTTCATCGTGAATTACGAAGATTGGAAATGTTGTTGTTCTCGATAGAATGTTTGATTGAGTTTTCCAGTGGATATTTTACGATATTTTTCTGATTCTTTTTTCTTTTCTTTTTCAGGTGCGCGGACACCGTTCGATTCTTTCGGGGCGGAGCTCTCTGGTTGACCACTGGCCAGCGCGCAAACTCGCTACTGATCACCTCGGTGTGTAAAATGAGCGTAACATGGGTGAGCATGTTGCGTTGGTTGCTTGGAAAACATTTGATGATACGTTTGAATTCTTTTTCTAATGTTCTTTGTTTGTCAGATTTTAAAGACATAATCGTGTCTAACTCAAAGATATATAATATACATTTAAAATTATCTCGATGTCCATTTCAATGGACATTTGCTGAAAAAAGCAACAACATATAGAATCCTCAACGAGGAATAATATTTAATAAAAAGAAAAGAAGGGAAACTACAGGAAAAGACACACCACACACTTGAACAAATTATCTCAATTCCAACGACCATTTCAAAAAAGTATCAAAAAACAGAAATACGCCGGATTCAGAAAAAGAAATATCGCTTCGAAAGAAAAGCTACAAGAACAACGAAAAAAAAGAGAGAAAAAAAAGAAAAAAATTCTCGAAGGCAACAGAAGAATTAATCCAAAGATACTCTATATAGGAACAATTATCTCGATCCCAAACCTTCAACGGTGGACAAACTCAAAGAGCAAGAGGCACGACAAGGGAGACTCTCGAAAGAAACACCACGAGGAAGGCGAGGAGGAGAGAAGGCTCGGGAGAAGAGACAGGAGAGCAAGGAAGACAGAGAGAGAGAGAGAGAGAAGGAGAACGGGGCCTGAATGGACTCTGGGTCCGTTATTCGCCTACGATTGAAAAGCGCTCGGTTAGAAACAAGAGACGCGCGACCGGTCGTTAACGACAATAGGCTTTTGTTTTTTCGGGGGCAGATGTTGGACCAAAAACTCGGTGGCGACGGGTAACCCCCGGTTACGAGGAAGAGACACAGGGCTGCGCAATACCCAACCCCTCTGGCGTTTCTGCCTTGGACCATCGAGGAGGACCTCGCGAAGGAGGACCTCTGCCCGACACGTGTCCGCTTCGCCACTCTCTTTGGTGGATCTTCCTCGTGCGCGCACGCGCTTGTAACCTGTCCGCAAAACCGGTCTGAACGAGAGATACGTACGTACGAGAGTGACGTACTCTGTCGTCGGCTGTTTATTCATTTAGAGGCGTCTCGCGAGTGGAACGTGCCGGGAGGAATTGCACGAGCGAGTGAAATTGTGCGCGAGATCTCGAAGGGGGTTTCTCGTGGGGGTTTCAAGAATCGAGATGGGGAAAGTTTAATAGGTTTTTTTCAAGAATTCATGGCGGTTTTTTTTTTTTTTGATAGCCATTTTTCTTAATCGAATGAGAGAAGTATGGAGAAAATATTTTTGACGATTTTTGACGCTCTATGAATGTGAAAAGGAAGATTATGGATCTCTGTATGGATCGATTAAATTATTTCTATAGGAATGCGAAGTTACGTAATGCATCTATATTTAGGTTTTTTTTTTTTTTTTTTGAGAATGTGAGGATCGATATTTGATAACGTGGAATCAACTTTGAAGATAGATGGACGTCGAAAGTGGTTTCTTTTTCTGTAAAGAAGAAGAGTTTAAATTGATTTAACGAATTGTTTGATAAAAATACGAATGTTTCGCTGATCCTTAGTGGAATTCATTTAAATGAATAACGCTAATATAAATATAAACGATAAAAGTAATGCAAATATTGAATTAACTTTGTTTGCTTCATTTAATAAGAATCTCGGTCGAGTAAATCTTCACGTTACATAGAATTTATTTAAAATATTGTTTTCTACGTTTCATCTCTCTCATATCATAAGGATTATGATGAAATTTTCGTAATATTGTACATGCTTCCGTATAAAATTATCGCGATTGTTTGATCAACGAATGACGTTGATCTTAATCTTTCTTCGATATTTTATTTATTACCATGAAGAGATAAAATATTATGAAGATACTTGATCACAGATTACAGTAAATAGAAGAATAACAGAAGAATAACATTATTAAAATTGGCCTCCATCCTTTTTTAATATACCATTTAATAGTTAATCATTTGTAAATAATTTCTTGCAGAAGAGAATGAAATTCTTACGAAACAAAAATTCCTAATAACCATACGAACAAATAATGCATCTAATACATAAAAACAACAACAACAACAACAAAAACAAAATCTCAAAAGTTATTCCATGCTCTGGATGAAGAAAATTTCCTCGTTTTGATTCCTGCCGATTACCGATCCGATGTAAACACTGGAAGAAAAAGGAAGCGTGCTGGCCACGAGAATAGAAGTATCATCGTGCACAAGGATGCTGCGAATAACCGGGAAAAGATAACATAAAAACACAATATTGCCCAGCGAATGTAAGTTGGATTGCTTACAAATTGGCCCATACATCCGTAATGCCTCGATCACTGTACCGTGTGGCTCCCTTATTGCGAGTGACTTCGTAATTTCCATCCACGAGTGGGGGGGGCAGATGCGTATGGGAATCGCTGCAGGAAACGTTCTGGGCTTATTAGTCCTTCACATTAATTTTCTTTCGTTCGAGATAGATGAAACGCTCCGAGGGAATCTATCGAGTCTATGCGTCGATTACTCACGACGATCCCCGATATTAAATTCTGAATCGTCCCGTTCGAATAACTCTTATTCCTCTAAGAAGTTGTTTGTTCCAGTCAAATCTTTAATTCTCGTTCCTTGATAATTAGATTTTCAGTCGTTGATACGTACGATCGATTTAAAACTTTCATCTTCATCCTCGCGATTTATACGTTGTAATTCAATCTTTAATCTTGGATTTTAATTTTAATTTTCATTTACTTTTACTATTGTTCTTTTTTTCTAAATTATACGATTCCGTATAACACATATTTCATTCCACTTTTGTATTCCTGCCAAATATACGATTCCAAAAATTGAATTTCAAAAATTCGAATTATCAGGTTTATATATACTCTCCCATTTCTCCCAGCCTATCTTCCCTAATTTCATTTTATTTTCTAATTTTTTTCTCGATCGCAATTCCTCATCACCGACGAACACGAACACGATTCGAAACACGATCGACTTTTCTCCGACCACGTTTCCCACCATGCGATACAAACGACGCGACACAACACACACGAAGGTGGAGGGCGTACACGCGAGGATATCCCGAGGCGGTTTCCTTGTTAGGACATCCGTGCTGTCAAAACGTCCACAGGACACATCGAAGCAATTGAATTACGATCATCCCCAGGGCGAGCTCCGACCGTAACCAATAATTCCATTATCCATTAGTATTGGGTCGCGGCAATTTCCTTCCACGACCGAGGTAACGGACGCGCGTACGTGTGCCGGTT